ATGGGGCCCAACTCTGCCCAGAGATCTATGAATGATGGCACCAGGTCTAACGATTTGAGGGACAGTAGAAGTGACCTTGGCTAACTTTATTATTAGCCATGACAAGGGACTGGAGTGGTGTCCATTCTTAATGGACAGTGCGTTGCAAACATGCCACCATTCTCTGGCAGGTCTTGGAGCAAGCGAGCTAAGGGCGTTTTGCTGTCGTCTTACAGCCCTGAAGCACCTTCTCAGACTTGGTGATGGAGCATGTGATGAGCTCCAGGGTTGGTCTTTGCATGTGATTTTTCACCCTGTCCATTAAATCAGCAAAGCAGAGCAGCCTTGAAATGCTATGAATAAATATTTGAAGTTTCTGGGTTTCTTATAACTCCATTTTTCTTCTAGGGATTAAATGGGAACCAGATGAGAATGGAGTCATTGCCTTTGACTGCAGGAACCGAAAATGGTAGGAAATGGTCAAACTCCTCAGTGATTTTTTTTTAAAGAGAAACCTTGCAGGGAGGCTCAGGATTCATTTTTACTTAATTTTCCCCTGACCTAGGTACATCCAGGCAGCGACTTCTCCGAAAGATGTGGTCATTTTAGTTGATGTCAGTGGCAGCATGAAGGGTCTCCGTCTGACTATCGCCAAGCAAACGGTCTCCTCTATTTTGGACACGCTGGGGGATGATGACTTCTTCAACATCATTGCTGTGAGTGAGGCAGTTTGGGGCTTTCTGGACACTTTGGGTTCATTGCATCGTTTAGCAGTAACGGTTACACTCATTGCTTTTGTGTGCACAGCCTTAGAGGCCCAGTTAGTCCCCTGTGAGTTTACTGAATCCTGATATTCAAGGGACTTTGGGAGATTGTAATGCAATTGAGCACATTTCCTCTACCGACCATGCAGACTGGCTCTGTCATCTGGGAGAGGGACGCCAGATTTTGTTTTCCTGGGGAGGCAGCCTTTTCAGAATTTAGGAATTAGGCCTAGCAAGACTGTCCTCAAATTGCTAGCTTTTCTCATGTGGAAATTAACTTTATCTC